CCATATTTGCTGACGTTTCTGCGAGTTTCTGTTCATTCATTTATTCGTTCGTTCATTCATCTCTAATGCCAGCTCATTCATTTCAGTCACAGGACCACCTCATTCGGATGGCTTTTTCACTCGTTGCCGTCATATACTAATCAGGTAAGTTTCGTGGGTCTAGTTCGAACTCCCGAGTCTCTCAGGTCTTCTGTATAATCGAGCCATCTGATTCATGGTCTGGCCTGTTACGTATTCCTAAAGAGTTTCTCTTACGAGTCTTTCCTGTGTTATCTTCATATGTGAATCTTCTCGATCTTTGGAATGAATGAATGCATTACAATCGAATTTATCCCGGATTTTGCCGAATTGTGAACTTTGTCTAACTTCATCACACAAGCAACTTTTTTTCAGACGTGGTTTACGTTTATTCCTCAAAAATAGTTGCATTCGAAGTGCGACTCTTGGTATCTGATGATTCAGTAAATAAGTGGGCGAATCTGAGCCACTCAGCAAGTCAGTAGGACTGGTAATCTAATAGAGATGTGGTCTCCGTTTGTACTAATGCACCATTTTTAACAATGGAAAAGTTATAAAACTGTTGTTCGTAAGTTTTGAGATACTTCTCTAAGGTTATTAACTAAATCAATATTTTTTGTTGAAATTATTGTCTCGAAGAACGGATTGAATAGCAAGCTTGATGCGTTTTTTCTTGCAGAGTTATATTTGTAGACAGAGTAACTGTGCATGAGCACACCGTCGAACAACATTTATTCTCTCAGATCGATTTCACTGCCTAATGACACTTTCTTATTTTTTAACGGAATGTGGCGTGTTGGTACCTTTATCTAAGAGGTCTGCGTCGAAGACCGGAGATACTTGGTTAGCTTCCTTTGGAGGGTGATCTTTGTTTTATTCACAAATTACCTTGAGCAAAGTATTTACCACATATTGCTTCAAACCTGGGTTGCACAATCGGTAGGGCATCGAACTCAGAACCGATAGGTACTGAGTTCAAGCCATGGTCGAGGTCACTTTTTTCGACCGAGGTTGATGAAGAGCAGCACTCCGTGGGAAGAAAATCAGGGGGGGGGCTACGCGCTACTCCTGTCACATGACTGTAGACTCTGCCTTTAAAAGGTTCTCCTGACTTATGGCATAGGAATGGAGATCAGCACTGCACCATCAACTTCCTGAAAATAAGCACGCCAAAATGGCCGAATCATTAAAGTGAAGGAAGTCCGACATTCTGGATTTGACCAGCTTTCCTTTCCTTTCCTATTCTTAAACACCTTAGAGTCCATTTAAGCTGGTGTAGTTTCGATGATACTTGTACACATATTGACATACTCGCTGAGTAAAACCCGTAGTTTGAAACCTAGCATCAATCCGGTAATTATGCTTGTACCATTCCTCTGATACAGTCGGATTCCCGTTGACTGCATGTAGGTAGCTAGAATTTGAATTTTACTCATTTCTTGTCTTCGAACGTTTTGTTTTGAGTGTCGATAATGTAGCAGTTGAAGTTCGACCGGTTATTCGGTACATTTACTTTCGGTATCCTGCTTAAATGGTTTTAATATGAATGTTAAGTAGTTCATAGAAGTATGCATCTATATTCAAATTTTTTACCAAATTTTTGCAAAGGATGGATTTAAATTGTGTAATTCAACATGTACTTGTTATTTATTGTGGCATTGTGAATGATGCTACTGTTTTGTTTCAGTTTTCATTAATCATTGATAAACTACAGCAAAATTTCTTAGTTTGCTGTTTTGCGAATTAGGACACGTTTGCATTTGCACATATTTGACCTATCGTCATTGACAGTTGCTGCATAGCGTTCGAAAGCTTTCACATAATCTTGTTGTAGACTTAACTCGTCGATTTGCTGTGAAACTTTTGACTGCCGATTACGCACAGAAAATGCTATGGAGATTATTGGCAACTACGACGTAGTATGCGACTGCACGGACAACGTTCCGACTCGTTATTTGCTGAACGACGCTTGTGTGTTGGCGAATAAACCGCTGGTGTCTGGCAGTGCCCTGCGGTGGGAGGGCCAGCTGACTGTCTATCATTATCAGGATGGCCCTTGTTTTCGATGTTTGTTTCCTGAACCGCCGCCGTCAGAGTTGGTCGGATCTTGCGCTCAGAACGGAGTCATCGGTTCAGGTCTGTTCGCTGTGTTTCGTTTTGCCAGTTTTATTTTAGTTTTTAATTTTTTTGCTATTTCAACTAAACTTCATTATTATTTTTTAAATTGTATTGCTTTCTGTGCGCTGCCAGACTTTTTCTTCTGGTGCATAAATGATCGTTGGGATGGCATGGACGTACAACCTCA